ATATATATGTATACATATATACAATATATATATATATATATATATTCATATATATAGTCATACATACGTACTTACATACATACGTACATACATGCATACATATATATATATATATATATATATATGTATTTGTGTAGTTTTATACGTCATATATTCAGTGATTAGGTCATTAATAGTCCCAAACGCATTCTTCACTTAGTAGTAGCATTTAAAGATCATATCCTCACATACACACACAGACGAAACCGCCAGTTAGTCGAGCTCCGGTCAAGGGGTGGAAGGCTTGGACACAGATGATGGAGGGTCAACGCAATCTGAAGCGAATCGATGGCTGGTTCTCCAATACGGATATCGCTGGACAGGTATTTGCGGTGTGAGGTTTGTGTGTACGCTGTTGGTACGTGTGACGTCCCAACCTCTTGTGTGTGGTAGGTATGTGACATGATGTGTTTTCTGTGTGGGATGTTCACGTAGTCATGTGTGTCGGCAGTGGGGCAGTACAGTTCGTGTCTGTGGTCCGTATGCTTTGTCGGTGTACATGCGGGTGAGATTGCGTCCGCGTCCTCTCGAATGAATCGATGGCGGGTTTACAACACACACGGCCCTGTTCAGGCGTGTTTGGTGTGGTGTGGTGTGGTGTGGTGTGGTGTGGTGTACTCGTAATGTTAGTGTAGTGTAAGTGTGTTGTTGTTGTCTTCACGCGCATTTCACATGTATAGGCAGTGCTGGTATGGTGTACGTGCGGTATTAGTGTTGTGTATTTGTAGTTCGAGTGTGATACACGCGTGACCTGGTTGGTAAGTATTTTCAGGCGTAATTCGTATAAGATGTTGGTGTTGTGTATAAGAAGATACAAAGTAGAATGTCTAAGTTGTGAGATACATACACGCCAGTGTGAATAGATTCATACCCAATTCACAACCAAACCGTATCCGTGTCCCAAGGTATAAGGCTATATTTCTTTCTCAGTCAACAAGACATGTATTGATCGGGATTGTCTAAGTTGGCGTGTGTGGCTGTGGTATTCGTGTGCACGACGGAGTGCGTGTTTTAGTACTGTCAGCCAGGTATGCCGACGTCTATCGAGTACATACCTGTGCACATATATATTCGTGTACACACCCACCAGGTGTTGCAACCGTTTTACTATTACCAATCAGTGCATCACTCGTAGCTAGCTTTGGCATAGCTGGTCGCTCCACAGATGTCGGAACCGCTCTGGTCGATTCTCTGGGCCCAACGTGTGCAGTCACTTCACATACGTGTGCGTACCGATTCAACCCATACCCCTTGGCATCACAATTCATGTGTAACTAACGTTTTATGTACTTCATGTGTAACTAACGTTATATGCAATTCATGTGTAATTAACGTTACATGCAATTCATGTGTAACTAACGTTATATGCGATTCATGTGTAACTAACGTTATATGCAATTCATGTGGAACTAACGTTATATGCCATCTCATTGCGCTCATCGACTTAGTTGGCGCTGGCGGAGCTTCTGATGAAAGACGATAGTGCGTTGGTCGATTTCCTGAGTAAAGCATCGCCAAAAGACAGAGAAGCATACTTGGAGATACAGAAGAGAGCCCTTCACAACTTAACAGGCGGAATCAACCCATCTCATGGGAAAGGAAGGTATGTCGCTATGTATATATATATATATATATATATATATATATATATATATATATATATATATATATATATATATATATATATATATATATATATATATATATATATATATATATATATATATATATATATATATATATATATATATATATATATATATATATATATATATATAT